TCTGACTTAGGTAAGTTCTAGTTATGTTTCTAGGCTAAAATTAATCAAAACCACGTAGTTTAGTGTTAAAACGACGTAGTTTAGGGGTTAAACGAAATAGAAAAGACCAAAAGACCCCCGACTTAACTAATGTCGGAGTGACCGACGGACGGGACTGACGGGCCGTAGGTCAATCGACGGTCCGTCGATTGGAGTCGTCGGTCGAGTCTGCCCGGCAGGGCTTCACTAAAACGAGCATAAATTTTTACTCGGAGGTCAGATTTTAGCAAACTCGGTGGCGTTGGAAAGAGGATTCAATTATCTATCATATCATAGGTAATGGGACACTAATTCCTTTTGTGCTAAAAGTTATGACCATCTGAAGTTGACCCGATCACAATTTTCTTCTAACTGTCTGCTCCCCTTTCCTACGGTCAGACCTACGGACCATGCATCGAATGACGGTCCGTGCTGGTCAACCATCAATCGGGACTGAAGCTGGGTTTAGGGGCATCGATCCACGGTTACGAACCACGGTCCATGACCTGACCTACAGACCGTAGGTCCGGCTGTGGGTTAACAGTTAGCTGAATTTTTGGCTGAGTTCTGGGGGAGTTTGCTGACACGAACCACAGACCTGCTGGACGGACCGTGGGACCTCCTACGGTCCGTGGTTGGTTCCGTGAGTGCTACCTTCAACATAAAAAATCTGCAATCTGGTCTATTTTCGGGTACAAGGTGTTACAATGAGCATCTTTATGGATGGTAGGATAGTAATACCCACGCTGCAGAATTTTATGAGCAATTTGAATACCACTATGATGCCCACCGACAGGTGATGAATGACATGCCTGTAGTATACTCATCACCTCAACCTCGGGTACACAACGACAAATAATCTCATCAGCACAGATACAGAACAAGTAAGGCTCTTCCCAAAAGAATTTCTTCATATCAGTCATGAACTTTCTCCTTTGGTGGAATGACAAATCTTAAGGCACCAACTCGCTTGCCAAATAATTTGCAAAGTCAGCTAACCAAAGAATAAGTTCAGTAGAAGCAGCCAATACATGTTCATCATGGAATGCATCATTAATCTCAATGCCATCATCAAGCTTGATCATAGCTTCTTCCTCTAATCTGGATAAGTGATCGGCAACCTGATTTTTTGTTCCTTTCTTATCTTACACCTCAAAGTTGAACTCTTGCAACAATAGTACCCATCTAATCAATCTCAGTTTTGCATCCTTCTTAGCCATAATACACCTCAATGTAGAATGGCCAGTATGCACAATAACTTTAGTGCCAAGCAAATAGGATCTAAACTTCTCAAATGCGAAAACCAGAACAAACATTCATGTTCAGTCATAATATAGTTCTTTTGAGCAATATTCAAAGCTTAGCTCGCATAGTAAATAGAATGAAGATTTTTCTCTCGCCTTTGTCCTAATACTACGCCAAGTGCTACCACACTTGCATTGCACATCACTTCAAACGGTTGTCCCCAATCCGGTGAAATAATGACAGGTTCAAAAATCAATTTGTTTTTCAATTCCCCAAATGCTCTCAGACAAGCATCATCAAACTCAAAATTACACTCCTTCTCAAGTAGCTTGCATAATGGGTGTGCAATTTTAGAGAAATTCTTGATGAACCTTCGGTAGAAAACTTCTAACACCTTTTACAAAGATGGGTGGTGGGAGTTTTTCTATTACCTCAACTTTAGCTCTATCAACTTCAATACGTTTCTACGAAATCCGATGACCCAGGACTATACCCTCTTTCACCATAAAGTGGCATTTTTCCCAATTGAGCACAATATTGCACTTTTCACACTGTTTTAGCACCTCAGCCAAATGAGTCAAACAGTCATCAAACGAATCACCAACAAAAGAGAAATCATCCATAAATACCTCTAATGTGTCCTCCACCATATCTGAAAATATAGACATCATGCAACGCTGGAATGTAGCCGGAGAATTACATAACCAAAACGACATTCTCTTGAACACAAAAGTCCCATAAGGACAAGCGAAAGTGGTATTTTCTTGATCCTCCGTAGCTATGGAGATTTGATTGTAGACCGAATACCCATCTAGACAACAATACCAACCATTTCCAGCAAGACGATCTAGCATTTGGTCCATGAACGACATTGGGAAATGGTCTTTCTCGGTCCATGCATTCAACTTGCAATAATCCATACACACTCTCCAAATAGTTACCGGCCTCATTGGAACAAGCTCATTCTTAGCATTGGGAACCACAATGATTCCTCTTTTCTTTGGCACACACTGAACTGTGCAGACCCAACTACTGTCAGCAATAGGATATATGAATCCAACATCTAACCACTTGATGATCTCCCTTTCACAACCTCTTGCATCGGGGAATTCAACCTCCGTTGATGCTCAATACTTGGCTTGTTGTTCGACATGAGTTGAATTATGTGAGAACAAATGTCTGGTGGAATCCCAATAATGTCCGCAATACTCCATCTTATAGCCCTTTTAAATCGCTTCAATACCGATATAAAAGCCTCTATTTTCCCTTCACTCAAGTCAGCCGCAATAATGACAGGCAAAGTGTTGTTCTAGCCCAAAAATACATACCACGAGTGAGATGGAATAACCTTAAGTTCCAACTTCAGAGGCTCATCCACGGATGGTTTTGCTGGAGGAGTGTCACGATTCTTCATGTCTAATTGCAATCGCTTTGGCTTGAAACGAAACTGAACCCCCTCAAGTGCAGCAACTAGCTCATCATAGTCATAAATACCATCACTTTCAAAATTCATTATCACAGTTGCTAGTGCCTCAACACCTAACGTCTCTTCGGTAGACATTTCGGGTTCTTGCTCAACAGTATGAGTTAATACCGATAAGATTCTTGAGATCACTTTCATGCTTCATAGACTGACAAATATTAAAAGTTACCTCTTCATTGTTCAGTCGAAACTTCATCTGCCCTCTCTCCATATCAACCAACGCATGCCCAGTAGCAAGAAATGGTCTCCCTAAGATGTTGGGGACCTCAAAATCAACCTCGCAATCCAGTATCACAACATCCGTCGAAAAGATGAATGACTCAACTTTCACAAGGACATTTTGTAATACTCCAATATGTCTGTTCACAGTTCTATCAGCCATAAGTATACGTATTGTAGTCGGCTTTGGAGCTCCTAAACCCAACTTTTTATAGATCTACAATGGCATCAAATTAATGATAGCTGCCAAATCACACAGGGCCTTCGCAAAGTGCAGTATACCAATAGTACAAGGAATAGTGAAAGCTCCAGGATCCTCTTTCTTCTGCACAAGTGACCTAGTAGCAATGGCACTACAATGTTGAAACTTTTCTTCATTCTTAAAACTGACAACCCTCTTTTTGCTCACCGAGTCTTGCATGAACTTCGCATACCCAGGCATTTGTTCCAAAGCTTCTATCAACGGGACATTTATGGATAGTTGCTTCAACATAGCTATGAACCTGCGATATTTTCCCTCTTCAGTCTTTTTCACCAACCTTAGTGGGAAGGGAGTTGGAGATCTAGGCATTGTAATAACTTTTTGGGTTGCCTCAACTTCCTTTTCTGCATCCACTTTCGGCTCCTCAGTAACCTCAACTTCATACTCACCTTTTTCTGTCACACTTTCCACCTCAGTCGGCACGGGGGGATCTATATTCTACTTTTCACCTCGAGTAGTGACTGCCATGCAATGACCATCAGTTTTTGGATTTTGAATTGTATTGCTAGGAAGTGTTCCTAGTTGACGTAGGTTCATCGTCGCGGACAACAGACTAACCTACTGCTCAAGTTGCTTAATTGATACTGCATGGGCGTCAACTTTCTGACCAATTCCAGATAGATCATTACACATCTCCTTCATATTGTCATCAGTTGCATCAAATCTCTTCATTATCTTCTGCATCATATCTTCAATGCTAGTCATACTTGACCCAGCCTCTCTATTACCAGGTGGAACATAAGGTCCACTATTCTCATTCCTGTTGCCATAGCCATTTTGATTATAGTTGTTATCACATTTGAAGTTCCCATCACGGACATAGTTCCCTTCACGGTTGTAGTTACCATAGTTCCGACCTTGGCGCCAATTATTTGAATTAGAACCTTGGGAGTTGGTTCAAAAACCCCCCGTCTGATCATTCACTTGATGCACATCTTTCTCATAAAAGTACTCATCGACTAGCGGTGCTCTGGGTTGGTAGCTCACAACATTCACTTTCTCTGCACTCTCACTCATATGTTTTAATACCAAGCCAATTTTTTTCCTCATTTGGGCCATCTCCTCTCGAATATCATCATTTGATTGACTTGTTGCAGTTTGGACCACAAACGTGCTTCTACCTGTATTTGCCTTTCTAGTGCTCCATGCCTTATTGTTCTTGGAGATCCTCTCAAGTTTCTCAGCAATCTCCTTAAAGGTGCATTCCCCATAAGAACCTCCCGCAATAGTATCTAGCACAGCCTTGCCATCGTCATTCTGTCCTCTGTAGAAGTACTCTTTCAGTGACTCATCATCAATGCGGTGGTTCGGCACACTCCTCATGAACCCAGTGAATCTATCCCATGAACTACTTATCGACTCTCAAGGTCGTGCCATGAAGTTATTTAGTTTATCCTTGAGATTCAACTTCTTGGACACCGAAAAGTACATTGCCATGAACACCTTGTACAACTGGTCCCATGTATAGATTGAATTGTATGGCAGCTCCGAAAGCAACATCACCTATCAACGAGAGTGGGAATACTCTCAAACCTATTACATCCATGTCCAAGTCTGGTCGTCCCACACTACTCATACATAAACTTTTCAATTTAGTCATGTTAGCATATGGATCTTCCGAAGGTAACCCAGCAAACAACCCTCTTGATGTAAGCATTTGCATGAGACTACTGGTCACCACAAAAGAATGTCCATGTGGTAGTGGAGGTAGAACAATAGCACCGGTTGACTCCACCGAGTCATAATCAACCCTGTAGTTATCACGAACTCTCGGTGCTGACTGGTTTTGCACCCTTTCTGTAATTTTTATTAGATGACCACCCTGAACCTGGCAGGCACATTCATAACTCCAAGAGGTCAAAAACCAACTCCATCCCCCTGACCCTCTCCAATGGGATCATTGTGTACCTCGAGATTTATGCCTCTTCCAACCATTCTTCTCAAATTTCTCCTCAATTCTGGATCGTAGGGCGTCAGGGGACTTCCTTGGATCCATGTACTTTGTGATGTGAGGACAAAATACATATTTTTAATCATTATTTACCTCACATTTATTATTTATATTTTTATTTTTTTTAGTAGAAATTTTATGGATTGTACTAAATAGTGTATTTTATTTAAAGGATTAAATTGGTGGGAAAACGAAGAAGTTTGAAGCTTAAACGAATTAAAAATGGAAGATTGAAGAAGGAAATCAAGCAAGCAGTTTAATGAATTAAATTTATTAAAATAATATATATTCCTATATATGGTGCAAAGTTGAACGGCAATTCAATTTGAATTAGGCTTGCTGCTGCCACGTGTCAGCCGACCGGCGCCCCTCTGCCGCCAACAATTTGGAGAAATCACGCTTACTGTGCAAACCCAATTTAATTGGGTTTTGTTTTCCTAATTTGTCTTAAACTCAATTATTTTATTTTGGGTTTTTCTATCTATAAATAGGGGATGCAAAATTAATTTTTAAGGGGGGCAACAATCAAGAAACAATACACAATATAAATTTTCCTCTAGCTTAGAAACTTTGGAAGAGCCGCCATGGAGGCCAGAGAATTGTGGTTTATTCTTTCTTCTCTTTTATTATTTATTTGTATTCGTGATTAATAAAAGATAGTTTAGCTATTGTTCTTAACTTTTTATGATTAACACAAACATATTTATTTTAATAAATTTTGATTGTGTTTTTGAGATAATGAGTACCTAAATTTCATAACTAGGGTTGTGGGAATCATGATCGATTAACAAAGTATAAATAGTAACTAAGTAATTCTTGAATAATGTTATTTCATGCATTGATATTTTTTCGTTTAGAAGTCTTTTTAACAGTGGCCAACGTTAGAACTTGCCTCGTTACTACTTGTCGGACTAATGAGGTAATTAATGAGAAAAGAAAAATCAACATAGATTTAGCGTGATACTATCTAATAGTCTAATTTCGATTGGTGCGAGGGTGAAAACTAAGACATACATCGATGTGATGTCTAATATGAGGTAAAGGTAAGAGTTAGTAAATTATACACACGTAGCGGGATCAAGGCGCGCTAGGTGAAATTCTCTAGATGCCGGACCAAGAATTTAGAGATACCTAACTTATAACTTTGTATGTAATACACTAGGAAAGGATTGCTATTATTAGGATTACCGCGTTATGAGCTTATGGGGAACACATTCCTAGTTACTTTTAATAATCTGAACATAAATAAAATATTTAGTTCAAAGCTATTTTTATTATTTTTATTTTATTTCAATTTAAATCCCCCCATTTTTATATAACGACTATTGAGTTACATATTTGCTATTGACAGTATTCTTCCATATTCTCTATGGGATCGACCCCGACTCATAGTTGGGTAAATATATTGCATACAATCGTTTATATTTCTTTTCAAGAGGTATATTTGAATGATATCAATCACACAAGGCATCGATACTTCAGTCAAACAAGAATAGACACGTTCGCTAGTGTGCAACGGTCCTCACAAGACAATCAATTCGATAAATGGCTAGTCACAACGAGATGCAAAGAGTGCACATATTGTCTATGTAACTTCATTTGGCCTCGTAGTAGTCGTGCATTCGTGTTTGTTCAATTGGGAGCACTATTCAAGTCATCGGTACTGATCGAAATCGAGACTAAAATTTTTTTGCAAAAGAATGGCCACTTTCAACACAAGAGGTGGCAATTTTTTTTTTGGAAGGATCAAAATTGTTTTCAATTAGAACAACAGGAGCCATGAGCTCAAACATCCACAGAAAATTAGTATTTCAAACACAAATTAAAGTAGACAACAAAACATGAATGTCAACACAAAAGGCGTGAGCCTCACCCCACCACAAATAAAAGCAGTTGTCCTCAAATGCGAATAAACAAAAATATATCGACAAGTAAGATAGGAAAAATAATAACGAATCCGAAAGGTGGAGTAAAGAAATACAAAGAGGGAGTTAAAGAGGGGATCCTGGCTACTTGATCGACTCATAAATATTAATCGAGTCATCTAAGCCTATAGAAGAGTGTATGGAGGAGGAATAATGTGTCTATATTCTTGAATTTATTGTTTCAATATGAGATAATTACATTCCTCACTTAGGATCCAAGAGGTGAATAATGCGATATCTATTGCTTGGGACCTTTATTTTTGTACCACCACCCCTTGAGCGTGATAGAAAAATTGATTCAAAATTGGGGGTGCAATTCATATCCTCAAAGTGGAAGGAAAAATAGTAAAATTGATGGTATCGTGCCGCGACGTTAAATTAAGCACTTATTGGGAGGCAACCCAATTAGTAGTGTAACTTCTTATTTTTATTTTATTAGTATCACTTTTTTTCTTTTCTTGTTTTTGCAGATTAGGGAAAGTCTGAGTACTCAAAAAAAAAATTGAAGCGAAGGAGCATGTTTGAGCTTAAGTGTGGGGTGATGAAAATTAAGAGAACATGCTACTAGTTAGGCCTAAAGGCCTCACGGAGTTTTCCTAACCCTTGTTTTAAATTTTATTTAATGCTTTGGGGACATATCATCTTTTTAAGTGTGGGGTGGAGGAATAAATTCCTAGTTTTTACTGTTTTATTGAGTTTTTTTTAGGATGGGTTCCTTGGTTTTTATTTTTGGTTTTTTCCTGAGGATAGTCCCTTTGAACCGAGTGTCTTTTATTTTTTGTAGGAATAAATTTTACTTTTAAATCTTATTTTTATTTTTATTTTTTTTGGAGAGAAAAGAAAAAACCATTTTGAGTTATGTGATACTTACTATTTGGGCCTAAATTTGAGTAGTACTTTCTTGTGAATGCTTGATTGCTAGTGAAATTGCAAACTTTTTGACATCTAGGTTCATGGTTGTGACTTTGTATATAACTTATTTTATTTTGTAGTTTGTTATGATCCTGTCTCTCTTAGAAGTGGAACTGATCCATCTTGATTGATACTTGTGCCATGTGTGGTGAGATTTTGTTTATTCCATGTTTTGCATCTTAGTCTAGAACTTGTCTTGCATGTTATTGAAGCGAAATAAAAAGTGATGCTTTGTTTATGAGATGATAATAGACTTTCTTTGATTTGTATGATAAATTTTAGCCTTTTCAGATATTTTATCACTAGTTAGCCCTTTTGAGCCTGTAGCCTTTTGTTGGTAGTCATATTTTGCCCTTGACAATTTTGTTGAATCCCTAGTTTTTGCATCTTGCTTCCTTGAGCATTATAGCATAGACTTATTCTAATTATCAATTCTGAGAAAAAAAGATGGTTGAGTGGAAAAGTAATCAATGATAGCTACAAGGTGCTTAAAAACCCTCAATAAAAAGATGTGACATGAAAAAAAAAGAACAAAAGAATGTGACATGAAAAAAAGAAAGAAAAAGTTACCTTGATGATGGCCTTGGTCCTTCCAAGGACACTGTGCACCTTAATGCTTGTAAAATACGTAAGTTGAGGGTGACTATTATGAAGGAAAACTTTTTAAAAAATTAATTAACAAAAATAGATTGAAACATTCTTGAGATTACGAGAATTACTTGTGAAATAATTGTTGAAGAGAGAGCTGAAAATAAAGAGAAGAAAATAATGGGTGATGAAGTCTAAAATTGCAAAGTGCTTAAGGAAGTGTAAGTCACTATTATATAGTTTTCCTACCCGTTCCTTAGCCTACATTACAACCCATTAAAGTCATATTTGATTTTATTCAAGCATGCTTAATTAGTGGAGATGTACATAATGTGCAAGCATATGGTTCTTTGTACATACATGTGAATTTTCATTGTGAGTGTGAGAGTGTTCTTTGATGCTAAGTCCTTAATTTATATTCAATCTTTTGATTTGAGTGTGTGGACTATTTCTTCTTGTGAGGGCACTTGTTTCATGATAGATAGGTGATTTTATTAACTTTCTTTGATGAGAGTAGGTGAGCAAGCTTAAATTTGATGAGTTCAAAGTCCTTCCTTGAGGTTAGGAGATTAGAGGTTTGTTGTTTATTTGGTAGTCTTGCATAATGATCTGCTTGATGTTTTGAAATTGTTATATGACCTAATTGTTTGTATTAACCAAAGTAATGACATTGCTAGTATGATTTTTTTGGGATGAGCTTTAATGTTTGCTCGAGGACGAACAAAAGTTTAAGTGTGGGGTGTTGATGTGAGGACAAAATGCATATTTTTAATCATTATTTGCCTCACATTTATTATTTATATTTTTCTTTTTTTGAGCAGAAATTTTATGGATTGTACTAAATAGTGTATTTTATTTGTAGGATTAATTTGGTGGGAAAACGAAGAAATTTAAAGCTAAAACGAATTAAAAATAGAAGATTGAAGAAGGAAATCAAGCAAGCAGCT